TGGGACTCATTGTGCCTCTCATACTTGAAGATTTAAATCTTTCATTAATTTTGGCAAGTTCTCAATCATTATGCTTATGAGTATAGCCTCTCATATTTTCTCTCTTCTCTCTTTCTGTAATGCATATCCTTAATTATTTCTTTAATTCAGTTTTATCTTTCCCATCTCTCTGCATTGAATTCTAAATTCTGAAGAGGTGACTTCTAATGTGTGCATTATCTCTTCATCTCTAACATACCATTATTCATCCATTGAATTTTAATTATAATTATGTTTTTCATTTGTTAAACTTATTTAATTCTTTCTCAGGACTGCCTTTCTTCTTCTAATGTATTTTTCTTTGCTTTTTTTTCTCCTTTTGTCTTTAATTAGTTCAAACATATTTATTTTCAAGTCTCTATTATATTGTGTTAGCTGAATTTCCTGGGGTTTTAATCCCTTTGAATATTATGTCAGCTAACTCTCACTTAAGGCAGTTTGTTTCCTGTGGATGCTATAATTCTGCATCGTGAACTCATCTTTAGTGTGGCTTTATTATGAAAATCCTATAGAATCTGGGTAAGGTATTTTTTAAAGCTTTTTTGTTGTTAAATCTTTGGCCTGGGACCGATTTTTATGTTAATTTCTCTAGCTTGGGAGCCCCAGACTGTGCTAGCAGTATGAATTCACTATCAAACCTGTATGAGATATAGTCCTAAGCATTGAACACAGACTCATTATCAGAAAACCTCTTTTTTTTCTTTCTCACACCTAGAATTCAGGTAGCCAGATAAGCCTCTACATTGTCTTTCTGTACCATTGGATGGAATTTTTCTGGTCCACCTTTTCACTTCTGTGATTCTCAGCTTTATGGAAGGTTCTCAATGCTAACCTTCCTTCACAGGGGCCCACAACCTTGTCTCCTGTTCCCTTAAGAGTCTTAAAATACACATTCTAGGTTATAGAGATGGCTACACGTGCCATTAGCTCCAGGACAGTGCAGAACCAGCTTATGAGCTTACTGCTGTTTTTTCAATTCCTATTCATTCCTGGCCTCTGGAGATATAATTTTATCCTGTGGGTTGTATGAATAACCCAGCAATTCTGGGTGTTTGTAGTAGGAAGATACTCATGTTATCTTGTCTGTCATATTGCTGGTGCTGTAAGTGTTTAATCCTACATTTGTATATTTGGTATGAAGAAATACCATGATTAATTGCTTCAACCAACCATTCTCTTGCAATAATTCTCAAATCCTTTGCCCTGTTTTCCTTCCTGGCAAACTCCCAATTCCTGTATCTTGCCTTTGGATTTGGCATTCTACTTTGTCTGAACTTCTTCTTTTTCTACAGTGAGGCACATTGATGTCACTCCATATTCACAGTCCCATTCTCTACTAAAACTTTAATGTTACCTAGGAATCGTAGTTCCCCTTGTGAGTCATCTCTCCCATTCCCAACAGCTATTTTAAAACCTTTCCACTCTCCTCAGTCCTCCACCTCCCTTTACAGAAGTGTTTTCAGAAGATAAACTTACTTTCTACTTCCTAAAGGAAATAGAATCCAACAGAGCTTTCTCAAATTCCATCTACCAAACTCACTAACTCGTTTATAGTGGAATATACCCCCTTTCTCCTTCCTATTACAAGGAAGGAAGTTCCTTCTTCCTAAGTACAGTGATCATATAATCTGTCATTGAAGCCTGGATACTTTTGAAGGTACAAGGAGGATTCTATTAATAATTATTCTAGGACAACAGGTGTAAACCAGAACTGTCCTGGGCAAACTGGGATAAGTGGTCACCCTCTGTATAGGGTTTATCACTCTATTTGTCCCCTCGATACACTGTTTTTGCCTTCTCAAGTACCGCATTCCCTTGAATAGTCTACCTCTCTCCTTTATATTTAAATGTCCTTTTCTCTGAGCCTCTTCTCATTTGTATTTTAACATTTTCAGTTTTTTAACATTTTAATCTTTTTAAAAGAAAAATCTTGCACAACATTACCGATATACCATATATACCTCTAGCTACTGCTCACTTTTTTGATTTTTCCCTTTTCTCTGCCAAATTTATTGAAAAAAATTTGTTGATACCTACTGTCTCTTTTTTTCAGCTCCCATTCTCCATCATTTATATTCTCTTGTCTTTTTCTCTCACTCCTATTCTGACACTACTCTTGGCAATGTCGCACATGATTATCTGTTCCTTAATAGAGTACACAGTATTTAGCATTACTCAATGTCTTAGACACCTCTGTGAGTTAGTTGTCCTCTCTGTTTCTTAGTTTCTTAAAATAGCACAATGATAGGACCTTCTTCACTGACTGTTAGTGAGGATTCAATAAAATAATCCATGTAAGCATTTAGCATTTTAAAATGTTAGCCATCCCATTGCTCCTCCTTTTGGAAGAACATCCATGTTTGGCTATGCTTGAGTTAGATGGTTTCATTAGTAATTTTATATGTCACTGTTCGAACCTTTTAAGATAAGACAGAAAAGTTGACTATCTTCATGTTGCCATTCCAGAGGTCCAGCAGCCTGAGGATGGTGATCTAGAAAGGGAGCTTAACTTTTGTGTTGAAGGCTGTTTCACGTTTGTTACAGCACTTAAGATCATCCACAATTGGTATGCTTCTCCCCGTTAGAAGCTAGCAATGGCAAACAACTTTTCCATGGCATGACCACGTGCAGTATGTATAGCCCGGCATTGAATGACATTATGGAGTTCTCATTCTAATTTGCTCAGACTAATTTTCAGAGTTACTTACACAATGCATAACAAATGCTCATCTGCCTCACTGACTATGGCCTAGCTTTATCTTCAGCCCTCATTATTGCCTGGTTAGTAGGTCTTTACAGACACATTCGGGGTTGTGCCAGTTGCTTTTCAGTTGGTTTTTCACCTGTTCTGAATTGTTGGTTAAATTGGCCCTTCCTTTAAATAGATCATGTCTGCATTATATCTTGTGGAAATGCCTTAACTATTTCTTTAAGTGGAAGCCAGCCGTTCAGAACTTCAAGAGAAGCCACACAGATTTGCTACAATTTTAATGCTCTAATAGTAATGATTATAATTGATGCCATTTATTAAATGTTTATTATGTACCAGCCACTGTGCTAAGCTTGTCACAAATTTTCACATATATTGGCTACTTTAATAGGGACCAAAATGGAGTAGAAATAGATGTGTGCTAAAAGGATCATTTTACCTGCTGTTAGAGTAACTTTAAATGATATTATGAGCTCTCAATACTAGTGAGTTTAATAACACCTCCGTATACATTAACTGTTAAAGCAATGAGCATGCCCATTTAAGTGTTAAGAAGAGAGAAGACAGTATTCAGTTTTGTGTGATGCAAAATTAAATGGCAAAGCAAGACCAAGCTGTGTAATTGGACTCCAACTAATTGTGATTTGTGTTCATTTTCTCTAGTCAGTGTTAAAGCAAATATTTTCAATATCTATGAAGACAGTGACCTATAAACTATCAGCATTCTGTATTATAATACAGAGGGCTTATATTTAATATCTTGAAGAGGAAAATCTTTATGATATTATGTACAAATGGATAACGATAACATTCATTCTGTATTATTCCATGTACAGTTCAAGGAAACACTGAATCCAGGCAGATAGTCAGTGTCCGAATGTGTGATTGAGTGCGTTTGTATGTTTGTTTTTCACTGAGTAAGTCCCATCAACTGGGTATTGCATACTGAGCTTTAAATGCTATTGCTAATGCAGAAAATACTAAATTATAGCAACTATGCTGAAAATATATCTTTTTTTTTTTTACATCTGACAGCCATTATTCCCATCAACTTCTTTCTTTTCTCTGAGGAGTTAATAGAGATTCTATGAGCAACTGATGCAATGACGTAATAAAGATGTTACGTTAGAAGCAGATGTAGGAAAGGAGATTATTAATGTTATGAGAGGAAGGCCTGCCTAGGAAATAAAAATAATCTAAAAGGAGCTAATAGAAAACTATATGATTGAGAAGGAAGAGATGTGGGCTTAAGTGAGTAGGATGGAGTCAAAGTACGCTATGGGGAACTCCCGAAGTCTCTCCCAATTGAACTATAATGTGGGCCAGTGTGAGAAAGCCCAAATACTTTATCAGTCAGATAAGAGAAAAGCAGAAAAATAGGTGATGATTCTTATAGTCAACAGTTATTGAGTGTTTACAAAGGGTCAGGCCCTCTGCTAGCTACCTGTCAACACCTTACCTCACTGAATACTCGTAACAAATCCCACTTTTCAGATGAGAGAACTGGGAGCCAGAGAGATTAATTCTACAGCATAGAACAGGAAGAGCTGGAAAGAGTTTTGTACTTAGTTTGCTCACTGAGCACAGGCATGCTGGTAGTTTCTATTTTTAAGCAAAATGTGATGTGATTTTAGATCAAGAAGGATCTGACAGTCAAATGGGTAGAACACCTTGCCCTATCTGGATTCTGAATTCTCAGTGAAGACCTTTACAACTAGCTGCTGAATTGGTTGACTTTAAAAGAAGATTTTAAAAAATGAAAAGTATTTTGACAATGTAACTCACAGAACTAGGAATATTTTTATTAATTAATAAATATTTTAGTTACACATTTTGAGTCAGTATTTTATTTTTCTCAACCCTTTGTGATAGAATACAATCTTAAAAAAGTTACTGAAAAAGAAAAAATGAGGGTTTTCAAATTTTATAAGCAAGGAAGAATTGTCTAAGCCAAATAGAAGTTCTGAACTGGTGTCTTACTGTATTACTATTTTAGTGAATTTAGTCTGTTTTGGTCAAAATTACCAGTGATTGTGGGCAATAGATGGAATATGACCTATTATACTAGGGCACACTTCTTTCTCTTCTTAATTTTTCTTTTCAGAGTTTTGACCTTGTGCTTTAGTATCTGGAACAGTTAAGGGAACTAGTCTACCCACATGTCTGCCTCTGCAAGCTAATGTCCAGCCTTCACAGTAGAACATGAGGCCCTTCTAATAGCACCGTAATGGGAAGGAATGCAACTCCTTACCCTCAACTTCCAGCTTCACCAATTTGGAATATGCCGTCCCGAGGCTGTTTTTTGCCACACATCGATAATGTCCTGCATCTTCCTTTTGCACATTGTGAATTCTTAAACTCCCAGATTCAAGAACTGCAATGCGGGAATTTTCCTGCCAAGGATAGGGACATGATTTTTAAAACGTCCATGGCTTTATCAAGATATCATTGCCTTACTTCATCAGGTCATCATCATCGCAGCTATCATCAAAAATATCATTTATAGATTATCATATAGATTATCATAAACAAAATTATTTGTTTTATTTTAAATAAAACAAAGCTAATCAATATTATACTTCATTTCAGTTAATTGACATATATCAACACCTACGTATTCTCTGTGGAATATTCTGAGCATAGTAAGATGAGAAACCTCACTGAGTTCACAGTTAGTAGGTGACAGTGATGATGCAGTGTAATCAATTACCAGTAAATGTAGGTATGAGATACAAAAGCAATATAAAATAAGCATGCACATAATAGATTTTTAATTTGACTGTTCTGTGACTGAGGTATTTGTCAGAGAGTTTGTTCACCAGTGTTGATGTTTGTGCTCTAACTTGACTCCAGAGTTCTCATTCCTTGCCTTCCAAACCTCCTTTCCCACTCTCCTCCCAGAAACTGTTTGTTGGGTCTAAGACCTGGATTTTAGTTTTATCTTTTTTATCTCCCGTGTCTCAAAGATCCAGTGTCAGAAAATAAAATGGTTCTACTAACCAACCAGTTGACAAAGAAACACTCTACCTTTGCTTTTGCTTTTCTTCCTTTTTCATCCCTATAAAGAACAACTGGTTCCCATCTTTTTTTCCCTAGCCAACCCCAACCAGAATGCCTTATAGTTGGTGTGTATGGGAAGAGGAATATTTAAGTTTGGTTAAAATGTTATATAAGGGAACAATTTTATACTAGAAATTTGTGATCATGTAACTGACTTTGCAAAGATTTGTTGTATTTGAAAACAAGTTGTATAGACAAGTTTTCATAATAATCACTTACCCTGAGTGCACCGTCCCCCTTAATCCACGACACTGATGGTTTGGGATTGCCCATTGTAGTACATGGTAGAACTGCCTTTAATCCTTCTATTATTTTTACATTTATGGGAGGACGAGTTATTTTTGGCTCTAAAGGGAAACAAAAATTCAAAATTAAAAAGGCAATATGGCTGCATTAAACTTTTTCTTTTCTATTTAAGTCTAAATATTCACTTTAAGAATAATTTATTACATTACAGGATTTACCAAATGCTAAGACAGGTTTTGAGTGGATATCAAATAGAAATAATTTTTCAAAGTTTAGGTTATCTCTGTTTTATTCATATCTTATTTGAAAAACACAAATTCATGAAACATATTAGGAGTTTGAAGTCATAGTATTCTTCACTTTAAAAGATAGTTAATGAAAAGTTGATTAAAATAAACTGTCACGGTAACAATTCAACATCATTTAATTCATACCAACAGACACAAAAACATTTAAGAGATATTTGATCTATTTTTTATATAACTCTGAGTTATGCTTTCCCTTTCCCTTTAGTCTCACTTTGACTCTTAAATTTGATGATTAAGAATTAGATACATTTATCCTCTAGAAAGTAAACTAGACGTTATTGTATCAGTAATTGGAGAAATTCTGTCATACAATTTAGAGTAACTGTACTCTGTGAAGCAAACTTTATAATTTACTGTTCTGTGAAATGCTTTTAAATTAATTCTGTCAGAAGAAATAGTTTATGCCGGCTATTGTTTATTCTCCAATAGTAAGCTTTCAGAGGAAGTTATTAAATCTAATGTATAGAAGAATTGACAAGTTCAGGAAGTCTGTTATTTTACTACTTGAAACATTCATAAATAATGAAAACTACATTTATTTCCTTAGGAATCTCATGTTACAGATACAAAACAGAGACCTGTCTTTGCAGGAGAGACTACTGAGAAATGGATACATTTTATTTCTTTCAGGTCGTGTGCTAAAATCAGTGTGTTACTTTGACGGAGAAAAGCGTGAAATAAGGACGTTTTCCTCCCATTTTAATTGTGCATGTGGCGGTTAGTGGTGGTTGGGAGTGATATTTGCAAAGACTGCATGGTCTTTTGATGTTTAATCTAGGCAGTTATTGCCATTTAGAGTTGGTATGATCTTGGATTATGGCAAAATTACAAGTCAGGCTTTAAACATATTATATGAAAATATTAACTTTGTCACTTTGCCCACTATCTAAATTACACAAATCTCCTCATCAACAACAGTGAACACCTACATTTAGATGATGGCCAGGCACCTCAGTTGTGAGTTGGGTTATCATACAGCTGCTGGCAAAAGCTTAGCTTAAGAGTTGATATTCCTATGACCTAGGCCAAGAGAGTGTTATCCATTCCTTCCCTTGGGTTCCTTGAACTGATCCCTATGCCAAATGTCTTAAGCAAATAACTTTTGTTTAAAGCAAATGACTCCTGTCTTCTCAGTGAAATAGATGTCTTGGTCATCTGTTGGGTGAGAGGTGAGGAGAACTCTTGTGGGAACTTGAAGCAAAAGTGACGTGGGAATGAGTTAAGCATTGATGTTGAGTCATGGATTCCCCACTGTAAGGGAAGACTCTTCAGGTGGAGCCATGACCACTGGCCCATCTGAGCTGGCCTTCATGTTAAAGTGGGATGCTGGAAGCATCATGCTATGCCAGCATGGAACCCTTAGTTGATGGACCTCTTGGGGGAGGGAGCTCCTGGGAGAGATTCGAGGGTAGTGGAGTAGTGATGGAGGCCAGGGTCTTGGGGGTCTCAGGAAGGAGTTCTCTACCAAGCAGTGTGGGAGCATTCCAAAATGTTAGCAATTGGGATGGCCAAACCTGTGTATACCCACATGACTGGGTGAGCTTTCCTAAGGAGAATGTGGAGAAAAGAAGAGAAGATTTAGGATAGATCCAAAATAAAGAACATTTAGTGCCAGAGAGAATATGAGAAATGTTCAAAGGAAAGGTAGCCCCACAAAATAGTGAAATACTTATATGTGCTCTGTCTTCAGAATCAAGCCTTCATTATTTAGCAAAGGAGAACATTCAGGTTTCCTTACTTGATTTCCTCACTGCCCATATGCTGAAAGAAAGCTTTCTTGTGGGTACACCCCTACCCACTCATAGAACCCCAGACCAGCTTCCACACAATGTCCCACTAGCCCCGCTACATCCCTATTCTAATGATTGTAGGACTTCATTTATAAGTACTATCAAACATAAAAGATTAGTAGATGTTTGAGAAAAAACATGAACATGGAAAAAAAGGAACCAAAAGGAAATCAAAACTTAATCATGAAGAGAACAGAAAGCAAGAAAAGGAAGATTATTTAAAAAAAAAAAAAGCATTAGTTGGGGTGCCTGAGTGACTCAGTTAAGTGTCTGCCTTTGGCTCAGGTCATAATCTCAGGGTCTTGGGATTGAGCCCTACGTTGGGCTCCCCACTCAACAGGGAGTCTGCTTCTCCCTCTCCCTCTGTCCCTCCCTTCTGCTTATGCTCTCTTTCTCTCAAATAAAATAAAATAAAATCTTAAAAAAATAAAATAATAAAAATACATTAGTGATATCCTTATAGAGGCTTGAGCAAATATTGCATCATAAAACACAGAGTTTGCTTTGGAAAAAAAAAAGGAGCAGAGAAGTAATTCCTAGAAATTAAAAATACGGGTTTTTAAGATCAAAGTACTCAGTATTAGGGCAGAATAGTAGAATGGTCATCTTAAAGACTTGAGTTCATGATATGGAAGGAAAAGTTAAATAAATCTCCAAGAAGGTAGAAAAAGTATGAGAAAATATTGGGGTCATGAAAAATGAAAAAAAAAGATCTAACATTTGTTAATTAAAAGTTTAAGAATTAGATAAAATGAAGAGGAAGAAAAATAGAAAAAAGTAGATCTCAAAAAATTAAAAAAAAAAAAGAAAAAAGTAGATCTCATTTTGAAAAAAAAACCTTTTCTTTCAGATTCAAAAAACAAAAGGCCCACCTAACACTAAGTAGGAATAATAAAAGAAAACCACACCTAACATATTCTTATGAATTTGAGAAATTTATGAATTCTAGAAATGAAGAGAAAATACTAAAATTTAAAAAAAAGATAAACACTAGACTTACCTACAGGAATAAGAAAAAGATTTCTCAGCTGCAGCGTGGAATGTCATACGACAGTGAATAATTGTTTAATAAAAGCAAAGGGAAGAGCCTTTTTAAACTCTCGTCTGTACCTAGACAAATTATTATCCAGGAATAAAGGCAAAGTAAAGACTTCAGTGATGCAAAGATTCAGAAAATGCATCCTTAGATTTTATACAATCACATGCTCACACTTTGAAAAGAAGGAGCGAATGACTTCCTTCAGCAAAACAATGACCACAAAGTAGAAAAGTAAAAGATAAAAGAAATAGTGATGACAATCAGAGCTAACAACATAACTTGCAATAAAAAAGTTCCCAGGTGGAACAGGACCCCACTGATTTTGTATGGCACCCGCATGTTGTGATTTTTGCCATCAGCAGTGTGGTGTCAGAAGAAAATAAAGGTTACGTTATGACAAGGTGGACAGTCTACAAGCAGCTAGGGCTTCCAGCACAGGAGGTCATGAGATTTGAGGGTGCTGGTAAGAGTGCTGGATGATAGAACACCAGGGAGGAGAGAAAGCCCAGTGGAGAGAGAACTGAGAAAGTCCCGATTGGGCGTCAGTGGGTGGGAGAATGGAGGAGTCAAGGGCAGGAGAACGTGAGCACGCTGGTGATGGCAGTATAGTGGGAGTAAGGGAGTGAGAGAGCTGGACTCTGTTCTTAGCTGAGGAAGAGACAGAGTTTGTGCCTTCTCTCTGGAGGCACATGATGAGTGTGGGAAAGTGTTTTCTTCATGGGACAGAGTGAGAAATAGAAGTGTCCGTGTTCAGAGTATGACATACTGGAGCTTACAATTTTAAATACAGATCATTTCCTGGGGGTGACAAGGTCATTGATGGGGTTGACTGATAAACAGTTAAGGCAGATATCACTGGACTTGTAGAGATCAGGAGTTGTAAGGATGAAATGGCTAGAGGCTGTTTCATGGTTGTTCAAATCCCTTAGGATGGTGGCAGGAGTAGGGATGGTTAGAAAGATAATGAGTCTGGAATCAAAGTCTTTGGTAGATGTTGGAGGGGCAGGAGGGGAGTGCCTAGAAGTGAGTAGGTGACTTGAATAGATGTACAGGAGAGAATGGTCAGAATGGCACATGTCCTCATGAGAGGAAAGATTTTGCACAGCAGTAATGGCTTGAAAGGGGGCTAGGGGTCCTTGCTAGCCTTGTAGACAGGAAAAGTGGGGAAAAATAAACAGCCTTCAGTGAAGCAGAAAAGCCGCTCAAGTTTGAAAAGTCATCCAAGAAAATCAAGTTTGAAATAAGGCAAAAGGATAGAAGTGTCTGCAAAGAGGTTAGAGATAGAAAGTGCATCTGGTTGGAACTGTTTTAAAGGTGCAGGGAGAAGATTTGAGAGGGAGGTTGCCTGGTGGCAGAAGGCAGGATGGAGCAGAAAGCACTGTGGACAGGCAAGAAAACAGGGAAGGCTAGAGAACTGGGCTTGCCTGTAGTTGAGGACAGGAATACAAGGCGGGAATTCACTGCCTCAAGGTTGTGTTTTGGACTTGAACTTGGCTGGCTGCTGAACCTCCAGGTGTGCAGGAGGCTCTATTTACTGCCTGCTCCGGGGTATACCAGGTCAGCTTTAACATCACGAGCAGAGGCTCTCTCCCACTCACTCATCTTCACTTGCAGAGCCCCACAGCTCTCCACGGCGCCCCCCACGCCATTGTTGGCTGTGCAACAGTAGATGCCATCATCACTGTCTTCTACGCTCAGGATGGTGAGGAGCTGCCCGTTCTCTCGAATGCTGTACCGGGTGTCAAAGAGCCTGCAGGTCACAGACAGCAATGGCAGGTTAGGACCTCCTGTGTGATGTTTTTCGGCTATGATTAACTAATCAAAAGAGATGACTTGTCAATGGAGGAAGCAGATTAAAAGCAAAAGGAAAGTTGAATGAGTTCTGAATAATAACCTTAGTTGGTAATTTAAAGCCAACATTGCATTCTAATCTTCCATAGACGCCAATAATCAAAGCACCACTGAGTCCCTCCAGTGCTCAATGCTTTCAAAAGGTGATGTCTATTGATAAGTCCAGACGTAAAGTTTACTTTATTCAGGAAAGTATATTATTACCAAGACATATGAGTTTTCTCCCCGTAATTACTGGAAGGTAGCAGCCAGGGAATGAACACACACACATAATTGTGACTAGCGGGAAGAACTAAATATTTATTAAAGTAACTAACAATTAACTGAGCATTTGTTTAATAAACAAGTATTTGTTGAGTGCCTGACAAGTGCCAAGCACAGTTCTAGTTCCTTGGAATATATAAGGAAGCAAAACTGCTTCAAACTGTAAAAATAGATGTTTTACATACATTATCTCATTAAATTACATGTTGTTTGTTGAGAAGGGAATTGGGGAAACAGAAAAATGTGAGGGGAAGCATCAACATAAAAGTAGGTTTTATGGCCAAATAAAGATTCTTTATGCAAAATGTATACATTAGGCAGAAAAATGTTCCCCTCAAAATCCATGTCTTAATCCCCAGGACCCATGAATATGTTACCTTACAGGGCAAAAGGGATTTTATAGATACCAAGGGTCTTAAAATAGAGTATCATGGCTTGTGCACTTTGGCCCAATATAATCATGATGGTCCTTGAAAGATGGTAGAGGGAACCCAAAGAATGAGAAGAGATGCAACAGTGGTGGTAGAGGGCAGAGGGATGGAATTGCTGGCTTTGAAAGTGGTGGAAGGGGCCAGGGAAGGCAGGTAGCCCTCTCGAAGCTGGGGAAGGCAAGAAACCAGATTCTTCTCTGGTGCCACCAGGAAGAATGCGGCTCTGTCAACACCTGGATTTTAGCCCAGAGAGACCTATTTCAGACTTCTGACTCCCAAAACTGTAAAATAACGAATCTCTATTATTTTAAGCCACCAAGTTTTTGGTCATTTGTTACAGTAGAAATAGGGAACTAATGTGAAAACAAAAAATGGGAAAGGAAGTGGATTCTTGATGTTCTAATCTCAACAGGTGACTACCATTGTATACTGATCTTGAAGAGAAACCAAAAGATGTATGGTAGATTTTGGTCTAATGTGACTAAGGATAGTGTAATCACTGGGTAGTTCACTAACTCACAATAAATAATTATGGCAAGCCATGAGACTCACTCACATGTAATTTTGTTGATTTTGTTTTGTTTTGCTCTGTGTAAGTGTTCATGGAAAAATATGAACATTGGAATATTTTACAGATGTACTTATGGACCAAGAGTCTAGCCACTCTGTGAAATATAAAGTGTTCAAGATTTATAAGCTCTTGCATCATTGTTGCTTAGAGTAAATTGCTTGTGGATTGTGAGGAATATTCAAGTATTTATAATTTTTAAAATAGAATTTTTTAGAACACTTTTAGATTTATAGAAAAATTGAAAAGATAGTACTTTCCGTATACCTCCCTCATGAGTCTCCTCTATTGTGAACATCTTAGATTAGTGTGATATATTTGTTACTATTAATGAACCAATATTGATACAGTATTAACTAGTTTCTGTAAGTCTTAGTTTATTCAGGTTTGTTTAGTTTTTACCTAATGTCTTTTGTCTGTTCCATGATGTCATCCAGGTCACTGCATTACATTTATTTGTCATATCTCCTTAGGCTTTTTTTTTACTGTGACAGTTTCTAAGACTTTCCTTGTTTTTGATGACCTTGACTATTTTGTGGAGTACTTGTGTTTTGTAGGACACCCCTCTGCTGGACTTTGCCTTATGTTTTTATCATGATAAAACTAGGTTTATGGCTTTTGGGAGGAAGATCACAAAAGCAGAGTGCCACATCATCATAGCAAGGGTATGCTATCAATGTCATTTTTCACTGTTGCTATTGACCTTGATCACCTGGCTGAGGTAGTGCTTTTCAGGTTTCTTCTGTGTCCAGGTATTCATTATTCCTCAAAGGGCACTGGAATATATTTTCAAAATGTAGTTTCTTCCTATTTCACAGATTCTTTGACTATCAACTAACTATTCAAACCTATAGCTCCATATACTTCTTATTTATTTGTAACATTTTTGTCTTATAATAAAGGGAAGATTCAGATGTATTAAGTGATTTTATTCATAGTATTACAAGCCAAATTAACATGAGCTTATATTATTTATATATAAATAAATATATATGAATAAATATATAATATATGTTATATATAATATAATTATATATATTATAATGCTGATTTTCTTTGTGTAATTTAAAAAAAAACTCTTTCATTTCTTCATCTCCTTATAATGTTGAGAGATAAACATACGAGAGGATCATAGGGCCATATTTTTCAAAGCTATTTATGATGCAGGCATCAGACTTCCTTCCGAGACAAGTTAGAGGGCTGTGGTGGGGAGAGTAGTCTTTGAACATCGACCTTTGAATACTGAATGTTGACTATCTAACAACTATTATAATTTCAAAGTAGGGAAGGGTATAAATATGTGAAGATATATGCAACAGCTGTAATGTAATACAAAGCTATCTAACTTCCATGATAATTTCACAAGTTCTTTTATGACTACTGTGATTCATGATCCATATTTACAATGAAGTTTTTCTGTATTATTTAAAGACATTATTTTATTTATTTTACTATAGAAGACAAAGACATAAATAATAGATAAAACTCATGAAAATGTGGAGCATGTAAAACGTAAAGCTAATAGCTTAGGAGATATTGGCACAATGACTCATGTTAGAGGAAGACAGGAGAGTGACTTGTGAAATACAGGGAAAGCTGATAAGGTGTGTTGAATATAGGCAGTAAATAAAATAGCAACCTGCCAAAGATTGACAGAAATAGAAAATATGATGGAACAAAGAAGATTATGGCTTCGAGTAGAAAGGGATGGAAAGACAAGTTTATAATCATGCCACCTCTAGACTGACAGCTCTGTCATCCCTAAATCAACCACCCATTGGTGACATAAAATGTGGTCCCTTGGGGCACCTGGGTGGCTCAGTTAGTTGGGTGTTTGAGTCTTGATTTCAGCTCAGGTCACGATCTTGGCATTGTGGGATTGAGCCCCATGTCAGGCTCTGAGTGCCGGGCATGGAGCCTGCTTTAGATTCTCTCTCTCCCTCTGCCCCTCCCTGCTCGCTCACTTTTTCTCTCTCTCTCTCAAAAAATAAATATGTGGTCCCTTTATGGTCCCATGAACTCTACCCAAGAAACACACTTAAAATCCATGGCTGTTCAGCAGGCTCATTGGCAAGCTAGAGTCATGGCCAAATGTGCTTACATCTTTCCAACAGAGCAAGGATATGTTATTAGCTTCAGGCACCTTCCGTCTGTGGCTCAGACTCCATACTGGTCTTTATAAGAACACTGCAGTGGGGAAGTCTGAGGCACAAGAGAGACTGGACATAGAAACACTGAGTGAACCAAGGTTCCTAAGTACATTAATTTATCCCATTTCTTTCTCCTTGTCTCTGTATATTTTATATTTTTTAAAATTTTATTTTATTTTAAATGGATTTGGTCAACTGTATTTCAAGCATCTTATTTTGAGCCTTTTTATCACAGCACTTTGGGAATAGCTTGCCTGGGAGACAACCTGAAGGTGACCACAGCACAGGGTAATTTCCCACATTACAACATGTGTCATAGAAGGAAACACTAAATTTCATTAGGGTTTAGTGCAAATAAAGACGTAACTTTTCCTCATGCAAGTTCATGGACCTCCATCTGTGGCTACCAGTATAAGCACTCTGGCCCTAGTGCAAAGCTGTATTGCCTGCTGGGAAGCCAGGTTCCCTGCCTTACAGATTTTTTTACAGTGTTTTTGATCAGATAACTATTGTAAATGAGGAAAAGAGAGCATGACCTTTTCACGTCAAGTGGGAATTTCATCTGTTGGAGAGGCTGCCTCATTATATATCAGGAACCCCTTCTGACTTTCAAAAGAAAAAGTTATGGTGACCTAGAGGTCAGGTTCCTAGACAACATACTTTACCTTATTGGGGTAGTAGAAGTAGAGGAGAGAAGTCTGGTCCCTGTTAATTCCCCAGCATGTCCTGAAACATGTGCTCTGTGTCCCCAGACTGAGGATGTCATGGTATTTCCTAATGGCGTCCTGGAAATAGCCCACATGTCCCCATGTCAGCGAAGTCTCGGTTTTGCTTTGGGCAATTCTCTTAACCTCACTGACATTCAGATCTTACATTTATAAAATGAGGACATTTGCATTTTTCATATTCTAGAAGGTGAGCTTTTGTACTACCAAGAGCTGTGATTCCATTTATGACAAAGTTAAATTGCAAGGCAGCAGTGGGTATTCTTAACAGAAAAAGGCAGAATACATACTTAATGAGAATTTTATTTCTGGTCCAAGAAATTTCAGGCTGGGGATAGGATTCCACCGCACACATGAAAGTAGCCACTTCTTCAACTAAGGCATCCACTGTTTCCAGAGGAGTAGTGATGACAGGAGCTACAAGGAGAGGAGACATCAGGTGAGAACACCCTAGAATGCTGTTTACTAATCCTCTGTGAGCAGTCAGAGGCAACCACGTACCTGAATGAGAATTATATTTCCCTGTAGCAGAAAGTTGCCAAAAGGAAGGAAGATCTTATGTAGAGAATTTTGTTTCTACTTCAAACTAGGCATTTGAGAATCAAAAGAGAAGGCTCTCAGGAGAGTAGGAATTTATTTTATATAAGTAGGGGCAGATCCAGGTTTTGTGAAGCCCAAAGTTATATAATTTGGGTACACACCTTAAGGAAAATAATATAAAATTATACATACAATATATCTGTGGCCACCCAACACAAATCAACTTGAAGGGAAGTGTGACTAAAGGGAATCAGAGTGGAAAGAGGTCGTAATAATTGTTTAAAGACAATTTTTTCCAAATTTCATAATAATATATGTTCATATGAGCACATTGCTAGAGCCCACTGAGGGTTTTAAAAGACTTTGTAGCTCAAGCTTCATCAGATTTATAAAGAATTCCGATCTGCATGTGAGTAAATTAGGAAAAGAATACGTAAAAAGACAAAATATCCAAATAAAAAATGGGCAAAGATCCGAATAGACATTTCTTCAAAGAGTTTGTATAAATTTCACTTGTGTTGGAGACATAAGCATGTGAAAAGATGCTCAATATCATTAGCTGTTAAGGAAATGCAAACCAAAACCACAGTTAGATACCACTTGACATCCACAACATTCCACTTACTTGGCGAGGAGGTGGAAAAATTAGAACCCTTGCACATTGCTAGTGGGAATGTAAAATGGTGCAGCTGTTGTGGAAAACAATATGGTGGCTCCTCAAAAAATTAAGCCTAAGATTACCATATGATCCAGCAGTTCCACTTCTGGATATATACCCAAAAGTATTGAAAGCAGGGACTCAGATATTTATACAACTGTGTTCATAGCAGTGTTATTCACAATAGCCAAAAGGTGGAAGCAACCCAAGTGTCTACCAACAGATTAATGGGTCAACAAAATGGGTATATCTGAACCATGGAATATTATTTGACAATAAAAAGGAATGAAGTACCAATATTTACCACAACATGGATGAACCTTGGAAACAATAAGCTAAGTGAAAGAAGCCAGCCACAAGAACAACATACTGTATGATTCCATTTATATGAAATGCCCAGATGGGCCATTCTGTAGTCAGAAAATGCATTAGTGACTGCCTAGGACTGGGGTGGGGGAGAATGGAGGGGTTAGGGGGTGATCATTGCCTAAAGGACACAGGATTTCTTGTAGGTGTGATGAAAATGTTCTCAGCTTGATTTTGATGATAAACGCACAACTCTGTGAATTGTATACTTTAGGTGGGTAAGGTGCGTGGTATGTGAGTTATATCCCAAAGCTGGTTTTGTTTTTGTTTTTGTGTTTTGTTGTTGTTTTGTTTGTGTGTGTATGTGCCTCTGTGTGTGCGTGTGTGTGTGTGTGTTCCACGAAAAGAAAGACAACAGGAGGAGAGGCTGGGACATGGTCCTCTCTCTTCCCGTCCCTCTATGAAATGAGGGTCACTTGGATTATAAGAGTTAGGAGGACAAAGAAGTTAAGAAGGAAGAGAGCAGGTTGGGAGTGGGATGCACCCCTTTTTAATGGTTAAGGAAACCTGTGAATCCACCAAAGCAAACGGGGTGGGGTCCTGGGCATCTCAAGGGCTGGATGGTGTGGCAAAATGCCAACACCTGTATTTGGGTGGGTCTGGAAATCTACCCCATTGCATAATCTTATTTAAAATAATTATCATTACCACTTTGTTATGATTATTATTATTTAGCAGAGATTTATTTACTGTTTTCCATGTAGCAAGTACCAGGTTCACTAGAAGCAACAAAGATGTGTAAAACCCATCTCTGCCACAATCTAGATAATGAGGATGGATAGATAAATAAAACGATCAGTTAAATAGTCTGTTATGCCTGCTCTCCTGGCACAATTATTGATAGTGCCCTCTACTCCAAAAGTGCCTGACTTTGGACAATAAATTATATGGTCATTTTAGTTAAAATGCAAGGTACACGTGACAGCCAAGTAAGTGGTGTGAACAATATTTTAGCTGGAGGGTAGGAGGTGACAGCTTCATGAAAACAAACTGGCACATTGGCCATAAAACATGCATCCACTATCTAAACGAACCTTCTTTTTTCAGTAAACTCAGAGACAAACTCATGGGCCGAGAGTAAGGGAACACGGTGCTTTCGAGTGTCCCACGAGGCCCACATCTTCCTCCTTAATGGTGTTATTTTCTTAAGATCCAGTTTAAGCAGCATCTTCTCCCAATTTCCCAGACTTGCTAGACAGAGCCAAATGCCCTTTTTCTGAACCTTAGGTCATCCTGCAAATGTCACTCTTACAGCACTTGTCACAGGGGTGCGATTAAAATGATCTGTTTATGTCTTTGTCCCATACTTAATTGTAAAAATCTTGAGCTTTGGGGCCAGGGACCATGTCTTAGACCTTTTTCTATCCCCAGGGTTAGCACATTGACTGATGTGATGTTTAAATGAACTGTATCTCCGAGGCCCTTATAAAAGGCATATATTTTTTTAAAGGTGGGAAGAGAATAGCTGAAATAAGAGAGCAGAATTTTTAGGTGAAATGACATCTTTTATACATAGGCATGAAGGTTCCCATGGATGAAATAAGATATCAACTGTATAGTAATACAGATATTAAGAAATAAAAACAGTGAATATTTATTAAATTTGTTGGATGCAGATAATGATGGGCCCAAAGGTGAATTGATCATATTGAATGCTTTCATTGTTTATTTATTTTTTATTTTTTTAATTTAAATTCAATTAGCCAACATATAGTACATCATTAGTGTTTGATATAGTGTTCAACGATTCATTAGTTGCATATAACACCCAGTGCTCATCCGATCACGTGTCCTCCTTAATGCCCATCCCCCGACGACCCCATCTCCCCACTGAATGCTTTCACTGTTTAAAAGGAAAGACTATTGAGCGGCCCGAAGAATGAGAGGCGCTAGCATAGGGCTCAAGTTCAGATCCCTGTTCTGTCACTTCCCGCTCCAAGTCACTCAGCCAGGGCCTCGGCATCTTCAGCTGTAGATGGAGAGGATAATAAAACCACCACAGAGGCTCGTCAGGAGGGTTCATTAAATGAATATATGTGAAGCATTCAAAATTGGCCTTTGCCCATATGGAACACTGTGTGTTACTTGATTTGGTAATTTAGAAACAGAAGCCTGAACAGTTCGGTGGTTCTCCTGGTCTCTGGATGACCAAATTTATCATTAATATTTACATCTGGGACTCTATCCCAAGGAAATAATCTCAAGATGGAAAGGCACATTAGATGACCTTCGCTGTACAAAACAGATTAATCGTCCTAAATTGTACTAATCATGCTGAAGTGGAAGAAAGTTTCGGCACCCAGTTCTGCCTTCTAGCTGGGGTCTGCTGGAGCTGGCTGGTACTGGCTTGCTTGACAGAGCCTTGTGCTAATTTTTCCAGAATTTTGTGAGACAACTGTTAAATAGAGCCATTATTAAAAACTAAATTATATAAATTTAGGTGACAGAGGGTGGCTACGCTTGTGACAGGCAGAGCATAACATATAGAGAAGTTGAATCACTGTTGTACACCTGAAACTAACGTTAACATTGGGTGTCAACTCTACTCGTTAACAAATTGAAATAAAAAATTTATAATTAAATAAATCATGTCAAAAACAAAATAATAATACTCAAAATGGATCACTTCCTAATTATTTTACTACAGTGCACTATTATCTACGCTCTTGAAGTAATTTACATCCAATGTATCTGTATAGTAGAAATAGTATATAAAGGCATGCTACTGCACATCTCTTTCCAATTCAGTATTCGTCGTTAGCTTGAAATCAGCTGTGGTTGGAATATTTACACTACAGGAATCAACAAATGCAACAGATGAGGGCCTTTTTTTTGTCTCAGAAAGGTGGATATTAAACATATATCAGCAACTCTTGTCTAAACAGTGTATTATTTACACAGTCACTGCAAATGGTATTTTAAAGAGTATAGATAATAGAATATGCTCATGCATTCATGTTAAGTAGAAGTGGCAGGTAGCAGAATTGTATAAACAGTTTTTTATGATACATAGAAAAAAAATGGAAGAAAATATACCAATACATTAGTAGTCTTGGAAGTTGGGATGATTTTTTTCTATTGTAAGCTTTTCTATATTTTATATTTTCAGAATCATTCTTCATGGCCATGTATTATTATAAAATAAACTTGATTCATTAGTTTCTTCTCACTTGATACTTCCAAAGTGACAGAGGTAATAGACATACTATTAATACTTTTACAAACTGTTGAGATAAGTTAAAATCAAGGAAGTAAATGTTACAATGTCTTGACATTTATGGAGACATACATGAGGTGTTACAAAGAACTTTATTAGATTAACACCTTCCCATCATGTACAGTGGCATGGCAGTCTTGGGTCAAGTTTGACTCTGTTTTTTAATAATTTTAGCATCCAATATCAAGAACCTGCCATGGGCCATGCATTATACTTTTCATTCATTATCTCATTTATCACAACAAACATAAAGGTAGATACTATTATTATTCTCATTTGCAGATGAGGAATGGGGGCTAAGAATGGTTAAATAACTTGTCTAAACATAATGAAAGTAGGAAGTTATAGAGCTGAACTTCAAGGTGAAGTTTGGTTTAAAGTTCCTGTCTTTTAACACTAAGCTATTCCATGTCTTCAGCCTAATACTACTCACAGACAGAGGAAAAAATAAGATTTACATTAATATCAATTTGTATAGGCAGGATATAATTGGTTAAGTTCACTTTGCCCATCTTTCAGAATTATCCAAACAAATCCACTTTCAAATCGTTACAGACAAAATCACATCGTTGTATTTAATGATATTTGTTGACTCAGCAGACTGTCTCCTGTTTACTTTCATTCTCTTATTCAGCTTTCATCTCAGCCGGAGTCTGTTTAAACTAGGGCACTATTTCTTCCCTCAATCCAAGGACCACATGAATAACAAATACATGAAAATGAGCACAACATTTTCCTGTACCCAAAGAGTAGCTTAACTTGAATCCTAGCTGCTTGATGAGAAGGACATGACATTACCCTTTTATGGGCCCAACCACATGGCCATTGACATACCAGCTTCTGATTGAATAGTTGTTGATTAACATGACCAAATGACTGAGTAAACCAAGAAGCCAGGTGTATTTGCTTCTTTCTGTTTTAATAAAATTAGAGCTCAGACTTGGGATATATTCATGTTTTTTTTTTCTAACATCATGAATACAGTATTGTTTTTTCAGTATGAGAAAACACGTTTTGGTGCTGGAAATTTTTCAGATTCCCCAAAGAAAGAGGATATTCAGTATTGCTCATCATTTAGCTTAGACACTGACACATTTATCCTACTGGTGATATAATAAAATGCAAGTTATTTTTTATGATGATGCCTTTGGAGTTTGTAAACTTCGTCGATAATCTCAGTCACTTATTAATGTGGTATCATTCATTCTTTATCACAGAACGCACTTTTGTCCTTGTCTTCAGGAATGGTACTGGTCACAGGCTGGTAGGAGTTAGAATGTCTGAAATTGCCTCTCCTGGGGGAATTCATTTGGGTTAAGACATAGTTTCATAGGGACCAATCTAAAATGTGCATGTTACCCAAGGATGAACATTTCCCCAATCATTGACAGTCCTTAGCATAGTATATAATGCTGTATTTTGAACACTACTATGCACGTCTTCATTTTATGAGGAAACAGAGGCTCACAGAGACTACCTGCTGTCCCTAAAAACACATGGAAAGACATTGGAGACTAGGAAAAGGAACTTGAACTTAATGTTCTCTTCCAGGCCTTAAATGTCCTCACTTCACTGCCTTCATTATTCATCCTCGACTGCACGGTGTGTTGCCACATAATCTCAGCTCCCTTACTCTCTAGTCCTTTAGCAGCATCGACCCCGGGGAGCACCAACCTTGAACTAATCCAACCAACTGTCCTCGCTGCTTCTATGTGCATATAGTATTGTTAGATGAAGTGAAAACAGTGGTGCAAATTAAGGCCATGACAAAGGCTCCTTCCCCAAGCCCAGTTGGGTCCTCAGCATGGCCCATGTAGTTCTTCTGCATTCTCTGGTCTGCTCCTTTGCTCGCTTTCCTGAATGGGGCCACATCCTTCGGGTCCCTCACTTGTCCCTTTCTCCCATGATCTTAAGTCCTATTTCACTGAGAAGTTGCCTCCTACTCTGGAAATGTGGCAGAAATCTTGACATTTCTGCTCCTTCTTTCTGTTCTTTAAGGTCAGTAGTATTTAAAGCAAACACGCAATGAGTTGCTCTTTCAGTGCACGTCAATATTCATCCAGGACTCGGTGTCCTGGATTTCAGTGACAGCTGTGCCTAGTCATATGTTGAATCTGTGAATCCTGTCTTTGTATACATACGATGCAGAAGAGGAAATTACTCAAATATATCTGAAGATAGATCACTTAGACTCAGAAACCTCTAGGTATGGGAGTAAAGTGGCATTTGGACAGGAGTTCTTTGTGCGTAATAAACATACTTAGAGCTGCTTCCATGAACTCCTATACTCCTACAGACTTTAAATCCCACCACACACTTAATATTCCCTGATAAAGCACTAAATATTAGTGAAGTATGTGGTTAAGGCAGGTATTCAATGAAATGTTGGGTACTTTCATACCTGAAGGTTGGTAAATTTCTCCTACTTGTGGGTTATGATATTGAGCTCATCGTTCTAAGTATCACTAGTTGGAATGATTCAGAACAAGTGACTTTTCCCCTTGTCTTTGAACATGGGGAATCTCAAACTAAAATTAAAACAATAAACTATTAATTCTACAAAGTCTATTATTAATTTTATTGAGGCAATGGTATATGGACAGTTAGAAAAGAATCCACTAATTACTCTTGCACTATTTAAAATCTGTCAGTCTACTTTGTAACACATTATTGTGCAGATTTCTTGATTCATTCATGATAAAGGACTTAGGACAAAGGTATCCATCTAAAAAACTCTTTTTATTCTCTGTCAAGAATAGAGAAAGTAACTATGAGATAGTTTGTGTGGAACATCTTTATTACTTTTCGTAGTATTAAAATGATAGCATATTTTTGTGGGTTCTGTGCCAGTATATTCCATGAATTCTGACAATGATGTTTATTCTCAGAGCAGGTGTGTGTAGTTAATGGATGTTTGTTCTACTAGGCCTGGTATTCTTGGCTAGGGTTGGTGTTAGGTTCGTACTAGTTTAAATTTTACCATAAATACAGGAGACTGGGCAAAAATATTCTTTGAATTTTTTGATTTTATAATCTAATTATAGTAGTAAATAAGTTACAAACAAATAAATTTGGATTAATAATCTGATCATTTTATCTAAAAGCCAGGATTTTTGGCTTTGTTATCTTTATATCACCATATTTTGAATTTCTCAAACTAGAGATAGTGTGCATTTGAATTAAGGGCTTTACCTGTAAAGTCTGGAAACTATAAATCATTTCTTTCTAGAATATAAATTAGGGGTTATTTATATGGAGAGGTACGTTTTTTTTACTGTACCAAATCCTGATGTGAACCATCAAAATTAATTTTTTGCTCCTTATGAGACTGGATTTTAGTGAATTTTAGTGAATTTTAGCATTTAACCATGTCATTTTTATGTAACTTTGTGGTTTAGAATAGCACAAGTAAGACTTGTCACAATCCGTATGTGTGAACATTCAGGTGCTACCTTACCGGACATTCGTTGTATGATCAGGAAGTATTAAAATAATCTGAAGCCAATGTTAAGTCTGTCTATTATTAGCTGTTTGAAAAGATCTAGATTATTCCTTATCTGGAGATACCCTAAAGTATTTGTTGGCGATTAAACGTTTAAATACATCTGAAGATACCTTTCTGCTTGTGTAAGATAAAGAAGGAAAACAAAACAACATGAATCTATGAAATCAGATTGTTTGTGAGGAAAGCTGTATCTCATTAGCAGTCTTGCCCTTGTGGCTCCTGGAATTCTAGTGAACCATAAAATCTAAAGCTACGTTTCCCATCTACATACAGATACTACCTTCACTTATCTACACAATACAAACGTGTTCAGTTCTTTGGGAAAGTAACATAGAGGGGAAAATAATTAATTCGAGAGTATCATAAAACACAAAATTCTTTTTACTCTAATACATTTAATCTGAAAACCCTTTAACTGATATCAATCTTACTTATGTCTTTAAAAAAATTTTCAAAGAAGCCCTCAGTCACTTTGCAAATCACATATTTTCCTGTCTTTCTTCCTGATTTGAAATACACTAGTCTCAGTTTCATAATACACTGGCCAGAAACCATATCACTGTGGACATTCTTGCTACTGCAACAGGTGTCTGTCAGTTTCTTAAGTTGCTTTCCTTTCCCTGAGGTGGTGTTATTTCCGGTACATTCCAAAGGCTCTGAAAAAAAACTTCCAGAGTCTCTTGCCAAGCCAAATCATGCCTCCAACCTCAAAGTTATTGAGAACTCATTGTCTTCAGGCTTTTATTATATAGGCAAATGGTGTGAGTCTTTCTTTAATTCCAATTTTTAGGAACTAAAATATTTACTCAGAATCTTGCAAAACTGAAACTGAAAATGGAAATGATTTTTGTTCAGAAGCAAACAATCTGGACATCTGGGAGTAGGGTTGATTATATTCCTGGCAAACCTAATGTGAGAAAGTTTTCATCATCTTTAGACCACCCTGAAGTTTGACACACACACACACAAACAAAACGGACCTTGATAACGTACAGTCTACCTGCTGATGGTTCCCTACAAGTGAGGGCTCCGCCTGTACTGGGTGGCTAAACTTGTTGTTGCAGAACTTAAGCGGGGGAGGGATGCTGGTAGAAATGAGACCATCAAGCAACTGCTTACTTGAACAGTTTTCTCCCTCTCCATACATTGTACCCCAACTTCACCAAGTAACACCCAAGCCCATCAACATACGAATTGGTTGTGTTCAGAGCGCGTGCGCGCGTGCGCACACACACACACACACACACACACACTAGAACTGTGACAAGGCAACAAGAAGACAAGATTTCTGAAACAAACCTTTTGGAAGTTTCTCAGTCCCGCTGAAGGCAACCAAAGTAAGAATATGTACCAGTGGAATGTTGACGAGCTCTCTCATGATTAATCCAGGCTCAGGCAGGAGAAAGTTCCTTCTGGACAATGCAAGCAAAATGCCCCCACAGTTTACATTTTAAAGCATAGTTGGTTACAAAAGGGTCGTCTGCTAATGACTGTTTGTGTCAGCAGCTCCACAGGCTCTAAGTATACTCGGGAATTCTCAGACTTGGCTGTAGTGATGGACACGGCCAGCTGGTGAGTATCCACTTAGGCCAGTAATGCAAGTGTAGTGCTGGAGGAACAAGGGAAAGAAAATCCCTTTAGAATCCCTTTTAAGACGGTGGCAGAAGGACAATACCAGATGCCTTTGCAACCATCACTGTATTCCCTGAGGTATAGGTTTCCTGATCTGATTCAGTTCACCACCTCTCTGCTCTCACCCCAGAACCCTGGGTGTCTCTAATCGGGCTCCTCCCCATCTCTCACCCCACCTCCTACTTCCAGCCCATTACCAATTCCTACAGATGGTACCAACTCCACGCTCCTAGATTTCTTCCCCTCCATTGATTCCAACTAGTATAACACTATCCCAAAGTCCTTTCCAGACATTCGCCCTCTCTGAAAGACAGCGACAGCGTCCTGTCTGTTCTCACCTGTGTCTTATTATCCTCTAATCTCTTCTCAGATGGACTCTCCTGCTCCAAAGCCTTCCATGGCTTCTCGCCACATGCAAACCTATTCCAGCCTCTCTAGGATGACAAAGGAGGCCTTGCTGGACTCTGCCTATCTCGCTGCCTCATCTGTTGCAATCCAAGCCTCTAGTTTAGTATTTAGCAACCTGTTGTCAGTTCCCTGTGCACAGCTTTCTTCCCTCCATGAGTTGCTCATGCTGTTCTTCCCGCTTGGAGTGTTTTCCTCTTCTCTGTACCCAGTTAACATCTCAGCTTTATCATCATCCTTCCTGGGAGCCACCCCAGACGCAAAGTCCCATATCTTCCCAAAGTTGCATTGGGTTTGCCTCCTCTGGGCACGCACATATCTGTGTCTCTGTCTGTGTCCATGTCTGTGTCTATATCATGCACATCGCTGTCACTGAACTTACCACACTGCTTAAGATTTTTTGCCTTGTGTTGATGTACCCTCATTCTTTGGCTTCATGAGTCCCTGGAGTTGGCAGCTGTGGGCTGTCAGCCAGTCACATTCCTTGCAGCAAGTTCTCCTAAAGGTGCAACTCCACAGCTTCCAAAACATTCTACTGTGTGAATTGCCTTTTCCCACTGAACAATCTGTCTGGGAGACTTTACCATGCTAACACATACTGCACTACCCATTATTTCTGTGGACAACAGAGTCATCTCAAGTATGGATATATGATGGTATATTTACTCCCCAGCAATGTATGGGAGGCCCCATCTCCCCACACTGTCATCAACATTTGCCTTTGAATTCTTACATTTGAATAGAGTAAAAATAGTATTTCATTGTTTTAATTTACATTTATTTCACTGAATACTGTTATTAATGAGAATTTTTCATATTTTTATTGTTACTCATTTTCCTCTTCTGTGGCTTTTGTCTGTCTTCTTCTTAGGTCATTTTTCTTTTTCTTATTTATAGGAGTTTTAATGTATGCTCACTATAAAAAATTTAGGTCATTTGTTATATAAATTGCAAATATTTTCCATGTAGAACACCTCTACTACCTACCCATAGTGATTGATTAAGAAATGGGCTTATAGCTCATACTGGCCAGGCCAAGGTTGTATGTTTTCCTGGACCTTTTGTAATAAGCTCTTCCTTCTTAGATCAGCATCCGTGAGGAGCAGGTAAGCCAGGGCTGTTGGAAGCTTTTATGAGCAATGAACAAGAAATAATGTGCAAAGCGAGTTCTATCTACTGGACTTCTTTGTTATTTAAATTAATAAATTCACCCTTTGGGGGGGCTTTGCTCATATGAGTTTAAGTCCTTAAACTGCAACCAAAATAATCCTAATGTAATTTTAATAGAAGAAACCTATTTCTGTTTCTGTTTCTGTTGAGAATACCTTGTGAATGCTGTCTATTTCACGGAAAATTTGAATGTTAGTAAGATGAGCACATATTTTATGTGCAGTTTAGGAATTAGTAGGATGAACAGTGTGGCTACCTGTCATTTCCATAAATAACATTAGGGAAAGTGCAGGGTTCTGGAAATTTGGTTGACTCTAGATTTGTGAGCTAAATCAGTATGAAGGGAAGTCCAAGGTGATATCCCCCCAAGGGCCCTCTTTCAGATACCCAGGAAGAAGACTTCCGAAGGAGCACTCTTCATCCTTTTTCCCCTAAAATAAAGAATGAGCAGTGATGGCGCCTGTCTTTGAATCCAGTAGGAACTGCACCCTCTAGACCAGTCATTCCAGGAAATTATCTCCTATTTCAAATTCCACCACAACCTGTGTCTCAAGGCGAGCACAGTACCATGCACTGTTAAAGGGAGACAAAACTCTGTTGAGGGAAAATTCAAGGTAGAATTTGAGGGAGAGTGCTCGTCTGAAATGAACCAGTCGTTGGCTGAGCAAAGTCCACTGCAGCAGATTCTAAAGTGTGGCAGCTAGAGGCTGCCAGCCAGTTACACTCCTTGCAGCAGTTTCTTGTAACCCTGATACAAGAGGGCCTTCCATCCTACAATGCCAGCAAATCTCTTCCTTATACTAGCAGGCTTGTTCAGCCACAGAGGGTGAGACCAGGTGCCACTCTTCCATGGCTTTTTCAGGGCATGAAGAGAGCACATGGGGCTGATGGCCTGTCTTCCCATTAATAAGATACAGTCAGCCACCAATGAAGCTTGCCTCACCACCTCTGCTGTCTTTGCTTCTGCATCTCAGAAGCTGGCCAAAACTCCCGGCAAGTAGGCTCAAGGAGCAAGTAGCACCGTTCTGAGCCGCGTCTTGAACTAGACACTGGCATTCAGCCGCACAGCAGCTGGTGAGACTAGCCCCATTCCTGCCGGAGTCAGCACATCACCATGTTAGTGCTTGTGGTCTGCACCAGGCTCTCATGCATCTGGTGAAGCTTGGCAAAGAGCCCCTTCTAATTATCATAAAGGGCAATGACCTAATTCTCCGCCTCACTGGTCTGCAGCCCTTTCCAGAAAACTCCTAGGGAGTCAATAGTGTGGGTTTGTATTTTTAAAAATGGATGGGATCTCTCATGAATTGTTAGGATAGTGATTAGAGGTGCATCACGAGGCCTACATCTTATAAAATTGGAAAGGACTCTTGAAAGAAGACGTTTGTTCAGTGAATTAATGCATTATACTGAATACCTACTATATGTGGGACATTGAACAACAGGCAGTGGAGCTTAAAGTCTGGTGAGGGAATGAATAATAAAAATTACATAAATATAATCTGGAGAGTATACTGTAAAATTATGTAAAAACTGAGCCTGAAAAAAAAATGAGGCTGGCCTAGTCCGAGAAGCAAGAAATGCTTCTCTGAGGAAGTGCCACTGAGGCTTAGCTCTGTAGGATGACTAAAAGTCAGACAGTCAAACTTGGGAGGTGTGGGGGTGGACTGTAACAAGCAATGGGAGAAAAATGTGCAAATGGCCAGGGTATGGAGGACCATGGTGCTGTGATGGAAATGGAAAAAGCCAGTTTGTTGGGAGTGCAGGAAGTAAGGGCAAAAGCTACAGAGGCAGACAGGGGAGGTCATTCAGGGTCTTCTTTGTCTCAGTAAGAGCTTCATTCTAAGAGCAGTGAAACACCATGGGAGTGTAGATTGCTGCGAAAGCTACAGAAGTGAAGCAGATGGGCTGAGGGGAAGCGTGTGGAAGGAGAGGAAGCCCTAGAGCTGAGCCATGGAAAATTCCAACTTTTCAAAGTCAGTGAAAGATAAAGAGCAAGAAAAAGAGATGAACACAAAGCAGCTAGGTAGGTAGAAAGATAGATACTAATAAAGTAGTGTGTCACAAAAGGGAAGGGAAGAGAAGAGAGCATTTCCAGAAGGAGAGCATGGAGTATGTTGAATGCTGCTGAGTGGTCCAATAGAAGGAACTGAAAGGTTTCCGTTGAACTTAACAACATAGAAGTGGTTTATGCTCTTGGTGAAGGGCAGTCCCGGGGAGCAGTGGGGCATGAGGTAAGAATTTTAGTACTAAATGGAACACTACATCAAAAACTAATGATGTATGGTGATTAACCTAACATAATAATAATAATAATAAAAGAATTTTAGTACTATTTCATTAAATATAAAATATTTTACAAAAAAAAAAAAAAAGACACTGGAGTGGTGCGCACAGACTGGAGAGTGAGCAGGATGTGAAGAAATGGAGACAGTACATGAGTAGGATTCTCTCAAGAAGAGTGACCATGAAGGGAAGTGAAAGTTAAGCAGCAGCTGGAGGGAGAAGTTGGACAAAGACAGAATTTATTCTATCTTTTCCTTTCTTTTCTTTTTAGTAGTTTCTGCACCCAACATAGGGCCTGAAGTCACAACCCTTAAATCAAGAGTCGCATGCATGCTCTACTGACTGAGCCAGCCAGGCGCCCCCAGAACTTATTCTTTCTTTATTTTGAAGGTGTGCTGTGAAAGGTCCTATAGAGAGAAAGAAGTTAAAGTCACAGAAAAAGAAGAGATAATAGATAGTTCAAGGTCTCCAGAAAGGCAGGAGCAGCTGGAGTCCTGAGCATAGGATCTTGTACTAGAAGGCGATGAGGAAGGGTAAGTAGACACATTTGTAGGAGGCAGTGGCAAAGAGTTTACTGAGCCCTCATCTGATGACTTCTATCATCTCTGTGATGTGGAAGGTGAGGTTGAAGATTTAAGACAGTTATTGTGGAAAATAAGAGAGCGCACAGTTGAGGTCGTCACTATAAAGTTATGCTGATATCAGATACCCTGGTGTGATTTTTTTTCTCCAGCACTTCTCAGCTTCACAAATGACAGATGTTGAATGGTTCGGTTTATTTTGGGGGGTAGGGAGAAGAAAGGGTATTTGTTAGTGTTACATTAGTCCGGGGAAGCAGTATTCCAGAAGAGAGAAGGAAATGTGGTGCTAGGGAGCAAAGTGGATGTATTGGGAATAGACACAGTCAATAAACAGGTGATGATACTGGCAGCACAAAGAAGGTAGGAATATGGACAAGGAAAGAAGCAAAAACTGGAAAGGGAGAGATTCAGTGATATGGGTAGCTTTAAGCCAGTTCAG